CCATGAGCCCCGGCCGGACCACAAGGTTCACCTCGAACCAACAGAGAGGGACGCGATTTGGTCCAATATCGGTGTGTAGTACGTCTTAGTTTGCGGCTAACAGGGGACAGTATATGAGAGGCCTTTTTTGTCTGTGAACAAGGGATCCCAGTATCAGGAACAGGATTGGATGGAGTGATTTCTAAAGATGAGCTTTTGGCAATTGGTTGAAATGCTTCCGACGAGTTCTCCGCATCACTTTTCCTCAAGCGATTTAAAATCTGATAGAAAACAAAAACAACTGTTTAATCCTAATTCCTATGCTAGACAGTACACGGATTGTGATACATTTCAGTCATTATCATTGTGTCTGAGCAGTACTGATGGGTAGGACAAGAAATAGCTGCATGCGACATTTGCATCCGCAGACGGTATTTGTCGCTGAATTCACAGCTGCATTCCATCTATTGTGTGCTCCAGACATGCATTTTCGAATGCCGTGATGAGGGCACAATCAACGTGGCCAACCAGCTGAACAGTGAAACCAAGAACTTAAAATGCCTGTCAATTCTTCTGCTTTTCTAATTTAGCACTCCTGTGGTATTGGCTCATGGTTAGGAAAAGTTATAATACCAATAATACTCCAGTAAAATTGAATGGAAAACTAAACTGACAGACCAAACGTCCATGTTGCTCATTATCTTAGTGATGAATTCCTTTCCGCATTGCATAACATATATATATATATATATGTACACCCGTATCTTAGATTTTGTTATTTCAAAAATGTTAGTTAGTTTGCTATGAAACGCGATTTAACAAACCGTTGGCCTGGACTAGATGTGAATTTGAGCGATTATCTTAGATCTTCTGATTACGGTTAGTCGCCTTCAGTAACCCCTGGGTAGTTAGAATGCTAAGTATGCTGGACTAGAATTCAGTGTACCTGAAAAAAATCAGAACTACTGTCAGATTATATGAATTCCAACAGGATGGGCATTTTGTTACAGTCTTATTCGTGGCATTCGGGTTCAGTTAGATGTTAGATGTGTGCGTATGTGCGTGTTTGTGTTCAGAAGGACGGTGATCAAGCGGTTGAAATCAGCATCAAAGCGATTCGAATGCCTTATGTTCGATTTCCACCATTTTTCTTAGTTCCTCATGCCCATAATAGACCTTTGATTGGTTGCAGTTCTCTTCCTGAAAACTGATTGTATCGCTCTATATTTTCGTCCTAATATTAAAAAAAAAACAGTGACGAACCAAGTTCATTTTCAATTAATTTATCTTCGGACAAGAAAGTTTTCTATGTAAACACTATGCTCACATGGCAGCAGTAAAAATGATGAAGTGTTAATCTAGATGCAATATAAAGGTATGATACACGAATGATGCATACAAATGCTATGCGATTCGGGGCTTTTGTAAGCAGCTTGACGGTTACCGCATATTTCTTCCTGTCCTCAAACCACCCCGTTTTGACTACGAATTCAACTTATTAAATTGGGTTGTGTTTTCTGCACTATGCATACATGCGCAACAAAAGTTGAGTGCAGTCAGTCTGTCTTCTTTGAATGAACGCGACTATTATTGACCATATTGCACATACCAAAGGTCACGATCGTTCGGTTGAGGCCAGGGAAGGCGAAGTGAATGAACAATTCGCTTTTGAAAACAAAGGGCTGGGTTGCGAGATGACACCGATGAACGACTTTTGATTGGTGTTTCAGGTTAGTTTCAGTTTTTATAGCCATCAATCATGCACTTTCGTATGGTGGTTTTGATTGCTTCACCTAAATTACCGCATAACTGCCGCGGTCGAGCGATATGTTGTCAGTCCAGTCTCTTGTAGTTCGTTCATTCCCATTCCATCACGAGTACCATAAAGCTCCACTCAATGATTGCAAATCTTAAACCAGCCGCAATCCTCTTCCTGAATTTTAGTTGTACAGTCCTTCATATAACATGAGATAGAAGCAAAAGATTACTATAATCATATTAATAATATCACTACTTCTACTACTAATAACAGTATAAATAATAAATTGAATTACGATGTGTTTCAGAACGCTGGTAGAGTAAGGTAGCCTAACTTATCTTGGTAAAGTGCTAAATTTTTTGTGAAAAAACAGAGTTAATTGATGTTGGAGTGGGCTTAGTCCAGGTGGATGGAACATCTTCATGATCATATTTGCGACCACCGTAGTCTGCAGGATGAAGGCATCCGACAACGATTGTTCTGATTTAACCAACCCTTGCCCTACAAAACCAATGGTTATCGTTTCCCTCTGATTTACAGTAATAAACACCGCCTATATTGCGTGTTCGCATAGGAAATTCTATTGGTCAAGGTGGATTGCTACTCTCCTCGTGAACTAGCACGTGATAGCGTTTTTTCTCTCGCCTTATCTGGGTTAGGCAGTCGAAACAACGTGCGTGCATATTCACACACACGCACAGAACGCCCAACAGAAGCACGGGACAGTATTCGGTCCCGTGATCGTCTGCAGGTCGAAGTGACCTTCAAACAAACCAATCAGTGTACGCCCAAAATTGGTTTAATTTCCTTTAATCCACATATTTGGGTACACATGAGCGGGCACGGATTTGATCACAGATTATGCAATTAATGAATAACGGAGCGGACAGAAATATGTATGATGTGAAGCAATCCTGCCATTGGCAGATTGGTTCGTTTTGGGACTTAACCAACTGAACACTCGTTAGAGTGAGTCAACAAACTAGACCAAAAGAGGTATTTATTCATCAGACCGCAAAATTTCACCTGTACCTACCAAACAAATAACAATAATAACAATATAAGATGTATAATTTCAAAACCAAAGTACAAGCTAAAAGACCCACGGAACACAAGTAAACAAGAAAGTAAGTAGTGTATCAGTCGTGCTACAAGAAAAGGCTGTGTTTTTACACCAATATAAAACGTTCACTGCTCTCTTCCCTATGGAACATCAACCAGATGGGACGGGATAGTTAAACTGGTCTCAGTTTGCGCAAATATGAACATTGCACTTTCGTGTGCAAGTTGTGGTTGCCGTGTTTGGGTAATCCGTTTGGTTGACCATAGGAAAAAGGGAATAATATCTAGCCTCAACTTGAGTGGGGATGTGACTGATTCTCGAAAAGTGCAGTGACATCGAACAGGTTCATGAGGACTTGATTCAATACTGCGTAGAGAAATTCACGACTAGGGGGATTTAAAAACACTCCGTTCAAATCAATACAGTGAATTTATTCATTGATGGGAAGACCAACGAAAGATCAACACAATGAGAAGAACTCAAGTGAGTGAATTTCACGAGCGAAACGAATGCAGATGTAGTCAGTCAATTCGCGAACGAAAAGAAATTAACGTGTGCCAAAGTGTCATAAGAAAGTCAGCGAACATGTTTCACTTCAATGCCTGAAAACGGCCATCAAGCAATTAGAAACAAGGACGCTAACAATAAGACAGCGAATAGTCAGCTCTAACCCCTGTCTCCATTTGCGCACTGTTCAGTGAAAAAAAACGCGTAGTCAATGTGCTTCCGCAGCCGCTACGACACATATGGTCGTCACCAGACAAGTGTGGACAAACTTCACGATGATCTATGGGAGCGAAGAATCAGTGATAAGAGGTCACTGTGTACTACATACAGTCAGTGGAAGAGATATCTCACGTGTTACCAATGAAGCGGTTTCCCTGGGATGTGACGATTCTAAAGAATTCAGCCTAACAACGACCACGTATATCAAATTTAGACCGAACCATCAACTGAACCCTCTTGTGCAATGGCACTATCTGAGAGTAGAAAGCCTTTCTTTTTTGGGGGAGCAGCGGGGGGGGGGGACAGTCGTACCGATTATTAAACGGCAGACCGATCAGGAGTAATCGTTCTGTGAGAAGGACCAATTCCGAAGGGAGTTTACTGAATAAACATTTCGACGGGGCTCCACGAGAAAGGCGCANGGCGCAAGCCGATGAATGTCATCAGTCCTCGTGACAAGGTTCACAGTTCTATGGGGATGGGTTAAAGCGGAATTGTTTCAATTAGATCGATTTCACTAGACAGTGTTAGGGCGTCTGGAGCGCATTCAACTTGCTCGGTGTACCCCCTTTTCTGTCTTGATGACAATAGACACACTGGAGGCAATAACAATAGCAAGGCACGTAACGAATAATCATTTGGATCCAGCAACCTCGTTTGGCTATATAGGTAAAATTAAAATAATTTACCGAATCAAACCAATCAACGGTCGAAATTGCCGACAATTCGGATTTCCTGCCTTCGGCAATGCCCGTTTGTTTGAAAGGCAATTGTATGATTAATACAGGTAACCGTCTAGGTCGTCATCTTGTATCTGCTTTCATCAACTTCACATAAGCCCCAATTCACTGAGTAAGTAAAATTTGGTTCGGATTAGGAACCCAGTGGCAACTCACAGTCACTGCGCATACTTCAAAT